CTCTGGCGTCCCAAGCCAGCTCTTAACGCGCCACTCGGCAGGCCCAATAGACACCATTTAAAAAAAAAACTGAATACCTAGCTACTCATTAAACAAAAGATAGGAAAGAAATCTCAGGTCAGGATTAACTATGAACCTGAATCAATTAAAAATAAAATAACATTTGAGGAAAAACTATATCAATTAAATAATACAAACCATACTTATCACTGTAATCTCTAGAATGGAGCAACAGGAGTGAATGATAAATAGAATTGAAAAACTGCTCCAGAGTGTGACTTCATTAAGGAGGATAAAGGACAGAAAATATTAGCAACCATTTAAAAAACTGTCAGCTAATAACTCATACCCATTTATATTCTGATCTCAATCCATGTTCTTCCATGTGAATGCTTGGACCAGGCCTAACTCTTGTTTACTGTTCTCCTATTTTAGCCATTTCAGCTGGCTTTTGAAGACTGACGAATGGCTTTTTTTTTTTTAATAAATTTATTGGGGTGACATTGCTTAATAAAATTATATAGATTTCAAGTATATAATTCTATAATACATCATCTGTATACTGCATTGTGTGTTCACCACCCACAAAGGTACTAAACTTACAGACCTTGGCCTTAGAGAGGATAGTATGAATTTGACCTCAAAAGCAAGGGAAGTAAAATAAAAAATAAATGGGATTATATCAAACTAAAAAGCTTCTGCACAGCAAAAGAAACCATCAACAAAACAAAAAGGCATCCAACCAAATGGGAGAAAGATATTTGAAACACCACCTCCGATAAGGGGTTACTATCCAAAATATATAAAACTCATATAACTCAAGGGCAAAAAAACTCAAACAAATCAGTTAAACAATGGGCAGAGGACCTGAACAGACACTTTTCCCAAGAAGACGTACAGATGACCAACAGATATATGAAAAAATGCTCAACTTCACTAGCTATACGGGAAATGCAAAGCAAAACCACAATGAGATACCACCTCACATCTGTTAAAATGGCTATTATCAACAGAGCTTTCACTTCCACTCAATATTTTAGCTGAAGAAAGAAAACATCCAGGTGGAGTCAGAGTCATAATAAGTAAAACACTTTGCTTACTTTTTTATTTGTTCTAATTTGTCTTCTTCTGCCTTAATATAGTCTTTCAGGGAAGTCACCAGATCTTTCTCTGTATGGATCAAGTCAGTCATCTGACCTAAAAGAAAAAAAGGTTATCAAATACCCATATTCATCACCAAAATTTTTTAGAATAATTTAAGAATAATCAAGAATGCTTCATTCTATGAGTGGATTTAACTGGCATGAATCTAATATGTTGGAGACAGCATTTCTTTTTCCTTTTTTTAACCAGATAAATAAAAATAAAGCCAAAAATTGTTCAAATAATGTGTTCCAATTCTAATTTTCAGCTACTTAATTTTGCAAGCTTGGCCTATACTGACAAAATTTTTTTTAAATTTATTTTTATTAAATTTATTGGCGTGACATTGGTTAGTAAAATTCTATGGGTTTCCAGTATCCATTTCTATAATACATCATCTATATATTGCATTGTGTGTTCACCACCCAAAGTCAGTTCTCCTATCACCATATATCTGACCCCCGATATTCTTTTCTACCCCACCCCCAACCCCTATCCTCTGGTAACCACTAAACTTTGTCTGTGTCTATGAGTTTTCGTTTGTCTTGTTCATTTGTTACTTTCAGTTTTATATCACACATATGTGTGAAATCATATGGTTTTTTACTTTTTCTGTCTGACTTATTTCACTTGCCAAATTGTCTTTTCATCTAAAAATAAAACACTACTTTCCAAGGGTCAATGATTCTTCCTCCCTAACTCCCCTCTCACCGTTTTCTGTTTTTCAGGCTAATTAGAATTAAATTTTTATTCAATATATAAAAACCACAGTAACAAAAAGTATTCTTCACAATTTAAGTTCAAATAATCCGTATTTAGTTATTTGTAATGGGATGAGAGGACTCATCATTTTATATCGCAAAATGACGTGTCATAAATATAATATCTGTATTTCAGTTGGCTCTACAATTATGCAAGGGTAAAGCTGGTCAACAGGATGAATGAAAACATCTCATTTAAGACAGATGAAAGCATGCATATAAGAAAATATAAAAGGATACACATCAAACTGTTATGAATATTTCCGGGGGAAAGAGGACATGTGGTCTTACATTCTATATACTTCTGGTTTTTCCCCCTTTAATCAATACTTTTAAAGATTTTTAAAAAAATTATGATGAAGGAAAAGAATCACAGTAGATTCTTAAATGGAAAAAGCAGGATATGAAAAAACATGCAGTAAATTGTTTGTATATCTGGGCATTAAAAAAGACTAAGTATATGGGCTGGCCGAGTGGCTCAGTTAGTTAAGAGCTTGCTCAAGAGTGTGAGCTCTGAGCAACAACGGTTTGATGCCCAGTCCGAGCTGAGCTGCCGCTAAGCTGCCAACAGGTGGCAGGATAGCTCAGCTAAAAAAAAAAAAAGACTAAGTATAAGCAGTAAATTATTTGCTGGGAGGACCCATTAACAAAAAATTTTCTATGGTATGCTTTTCTAAATTTTTACAAGTTTCTAACCTGTAAATGTATTGCTTTTGTAATAAGAAAAAAAATAATTTAAAGAAAACCAAAATTGAATTTTAGAGAGTCTATTAGGGAATACAGTGTATTTGTTTTTACTGATTTAAAATACTAAAAAATGGAAAATTTTAAATGCAAAAACAATACAAACCCAAAAAAAGTTAAGACTTACCAATTGAGGTATAAAAGCCTGGATGGGCCAAAGACTGGGGAAGTAAAATCCCTACAATTAAAATACACCGGATCATCTTAGAAGACTTAATTTACAGGTTCACACACCTAAAAGAGAAATACAATCATCACCAAAAAAAATAAAATTAAATTAAGCGTATAAAACCAAAATGTAAGTCAGACCCCAAAGTGCCCATGAGACTATTGTTAATTCTTATAAGTTGATTTAATATTAATGAGAGCTATCTTATTTTTCATATAATTAAGGACTCTAGCTTGATATTTCATGTTAAAAAAATACATGTTTGTTATCACCTAATAATTTATGCTTAAAATTCAACCTAAGTTTAAGTAGTCCTTAATTACTACTACGATTACAGTAACCAAATAGCCTGAAAAATAACTTTTCTGTGATCTAGATCTAAACCATTAATTTCCCATAAAAACATACCAGTTTATTAAAGAAACTTAATTTAAATATTACCAAAATACATTCTAAAATGTTAGAATATGTTTTAAAGAGAAAAAAGGTTTCAGAGCTTTCTGATTAATCCTTTAAAGTCTAACTTGCTCCATCTATCCCTATATGGCTTTAAATTTTAAAATAAGTTCAATTAAAGTTGTAGATTTAGGGGTGATGTAAATGTTCTAAAATTGACTGTGGTGATTGGCAGTTGAAGAACACTAAAAGTATAAAAAACCATTGACTCATGAATATTAAATGGGTGAATTGTATGGCATATGAATTATGTCTCAATAAAGCTGTTATTTTTAAAAAGTTGTATAGAATCCAAAAAGAATAAACAGCCCTGTCAATTTAAGCTCGTAATTTCACTCAAAGGACCTAGTGTTGAGTTGCTTTCTCTTATGTACTGCATTCTATGTAAAAAATTCCTTAGCCTAGTACATAGCTGTGGCATTTTTTTTTTTTTAAACCTGGCAGCAAAGCCCTTCTGTCTTTTGGTTCTTTTTTTTGATCCCCGGGAGCGCTGTCTTTTCTGCAATGGGTTCTTCATGACAGATGCAGATATCAAACAGCAAAAAGATTTTACCCTGCTTTCCCAAATGCCCCCTGAGCACTCTTCCCTTGCTCCTTTCTCCATCACATACATGCACTTTGAATCCTTCTTATCACCTTACAGGAGAAAAAGTTACCGTGAGAATACCGTTTGCCCCAGTAACAGGCTTTCTCTGGTTACTCTGATTTGTCACCCTATTCCTCATTGTGCAGGCACCTCTGACTCTTCCCCAGTGACTTCACCTAAACTAACAGGTCCAAATCCACATTGGAAAGCTCCCTATTCTGCAAAAAAAATAAAATAAAATAAAAAATAGCCCAGTTTCCTAACTTGAATCTCAACAAAAATAGATCACCATAGAAACTAACATTCTGGAAGTGCTCCTAAGTCTCCTCCCTCAAGTATGCTGCAAGCTTCCAGATACTTCCAGAACCACACAGTAGTAAAACACACTGCTCTCTTGGCTGCTTTACAGTAAAGCTTTGGGAAGGCTTCTAGAATGTACCAGATGCAGACACTTCCTCTCCTGGGCTCCTGCCAAAGCACAAGGCTTTTTCAAAATCCTGGACTGTCTGAATAGTCTAGAATCTTCTCACTGTTTAAACGGGTTTCTGCCATAATTTTCTTCATAACTAAATGTTATTTCCAGAAAATACAAATGTGTCTGCTGTACTAACAGGAAGCTAATCAGAAATGTTGTGTAAATGTTTAGCTCCGATAAGAAAGTTTAGATTTGTCAGATAAGAGGTTGTCATTTTTATTGCTAAATAAAATTTTTTCATCATCCTTAAACCTCACAATGAATCAAGAACCATTTGCCTATAGAAATTACTTGAAAGTTGCATTTTAAAGAATGATAGAGCTTATATAAAAATGAAAGCATTAATCACATAAAAAATACACCTTTATCTTACATCATGCTGCAAAAGAAATTCTGGATTAAAGAGTTATAATCAACAACAAAAAAAATAACAGCAAAAGAAAAGTTATTGGATCTCTCAAATGAGAGAATTTCTAAGCTTAAATAAAAATGATAAAACAGGGCAGGCCGAGTGGCGTGTTGATTAAGAGCTGGCTTGGGACTCCAGCTCTGAGCAGCAAGGCCCTGGTTCGGATCCCACATTAGGGCCAGTGACTCTGCGCCCTCTACAGCCAAGATGGTGAACAACAGCTCGACCTGAAGCTGAGCTGTCATGAGTTGCTGGTGACGGCGTGAGCTGCAGTGGGCTGCCGTGAGCTACAGTGAGTGGCTGGCAGCCAGCGTCAGCTGCCAAGAGCCGCCATGAGCGGCCATCCAGTGGTTGGCAACCGATCTGCCTCAGCTGGGAAGAGCACAATGATCATAATACCGACATGCGCCAGTGAAGCGACGTCCTCCACAACTAGACTGAAGAACAAAAGGACAGCAACTTGTCTGTTCCCCTTCCCTGATTCCCCAACGTTGTTTCCCTCCCCCAATTCCCCAATAAATCTTTTTTAAAAAAAATGATGAAACAACCTATTGAAAGCCAGATGTGATTTAAATACACAAAATAATTTAGGTTTATATATATTTTAAGTAACTATAAACTACAAACTAGGAAGCCAAAGGAAATAAAGCTCATTTAAGGAACTCATATAAATCAATAAAAAAAAAACCACTAAAATGTTAATAGATAAGTGGATTAAGAACACAGAAAGTCACAAAAGAGGGACTATATATAGATAATGAAAGAAAAAAAGCTCATTTATTAGTAATCAAGGACACAAAAAATTGAAATAAGATAGCTACTTTGTGCTCACTCATCAAATGAACATGAAACAAGTTAACAATTAAAAATGATGATGCTGGGCCGGCCGAGTGGCGTGATGGTTAGGAACTCGCTTGGGATGCCAGAGGGCCCCGGTTCGGATCCCACATATGAGGGCCAGTGACACTGCCCTCTACAGCTAAGATGCTGAACAACGGCTCGACCTGGAGCTGGGCTGCCGGGAGTCGCCGGCGACGGCGTAGGCTGCAGCCCCTGTGGCAGTGGGTTGCCATGGGCTACCGTATGTAGCCAGCAGCCAGCGTGAGCGGCCAGCAGCCGCAGTGAGCGGCCAGCAGCCGCAGTGAGCGGCCGTCCAGAGGCCGGCGACTGATCTGCCTCGCCAGAGAAGAGCGCAATGATGGTGCCAACTTGGGCCAGTGAAGCAACGTCCTCCACAACTAGATTGAAGAACAAAACGACAGCAACTTGTCTGTTCCCCTTCCCCCAACTCCCCAGCACTGTTCCTATCCCCCTAATTCCCCAATAAAAAAAAAAATCTTTAAAAAAAAAAAATGATGATGCTGTATGTCAAGAAACTTAAAATGAACATATTCTTTAACTTGTGAATTTAAATGAAAAAAGAAGATTTGAAAATTAATATCAACTCTCATTCTTTCTTGGTGGGAATGCAAAATGGTACAGCTACTTTGGAAAACAGTTTGGCGGTATCTCAAAAAATTAAACATACTTTTACCATATGATCCAGCAATGCCTTGTTCATGGTATTTACCCAAAGGAGTTGAAAACTATGTCTACACAAAAATCTACATACAGGAGTTTATAGCAGTTTTATTCATAATGGCCAAAACTTGAAAGCAACCAAGATGTCCTTGGTGAATAAACTGTGGCACATCTAGACAATGGAATATTATTCAGTGCTAAAAAGAAATGAGCTGTCAAGCCATGAAAAGACATGGAGGAACCTTGAATGCATATTACTTGGTGAAAGAAGCCAATCTAAACAGGCTGTATACTGTACGATTCCAAGAATATGACATTCTAGAAAAGGCAAAACTATGAAGACAGTAAAAAAATCAGTTTGTGGGGTTGTATAGATGAATAAGAGAGGATTTTTAGGGCCGTGAAAATACTCCATATGATATCATAATGATAAATGCATGTCATTATACATTTATTCAAACCCATAGACCTAGAGTTAACCGGTAATGCAAACTATGGACTTTGGACAATTATGATGTGTCTGTCCCACTCTGGTGGGGATGTAGAGAATGGGGGAGACTGTGCAAGTGGGGGGTGGGCTGGGGGTGTATAGGAAATCTCTGTACCATCCTCTCAATTTTTCTGTGAGCCTAAAACTTCTCTAAAAAAAAAAGTCTGTAAAAAATAAAAATATTGAATATGATTAAGTTTCCACTACTCTGACAGAAAGCTATGAATACTGAACACAACAAATTTTAAAAATTAATATAATATGATAACTATGCAAGAAAATATGCAGAGGAAATTCACCAAAATGAAACTGTCCCTGGACAGCAGAACACTAGATGATTTTTTTTCTATTTCTCTGTATTTTCCAGTTTCCCAGTGTATATTAACTTTTAGAGTGACAAAAAATTAACTCTACAAAATAATAAATCTAAAACATCAGCTCCCATATTATGGCACCCTGAGCCTTTAAGGAAGCGGTTATCTACTCTCTAACACAAAAAAAGTAGCTAAAAATACTATACATGTTTGAACATGTTCCATTTTCTAACTCTATAAGCCTCCAGATTTCTCTCTCTGCGTCAAAGACAGTCACACTTACCTGAAAGCAACCCAGATACCTAGCTGTGAACTACCTGCCAGAACAGCACACTTTTCTCCTTCCTCGCAGAGACACGTGACCCAGGCTAAGCCAGTCGTTGACCTTCATGCCCATGAACATAAAACTTGAGGGGTGGGACTTGAGAAATGGTAAAAAGCAGCTCTTAACTGCAGTTGCTAAGCTCAGAGGATATTAATTTGGAATTGCCTGTGACCATCTTTCCCACTTGTCAAGGAACCTAATCTATAAACAGGAAAAAGTCATGTAGAGTCATGCAGGTCCAAGCTCCTCGGTCCTGATTCTTCCAATTATTGCTTTGAATTTTTGAGCTGCCCCAATAATCTTCCAACCCAACTAAGGGAGCCTGTAAATTCCCTTTTTCTTAAGCTAGTTCATAGATTTCTGTCATTTACAATAGAAAGTTCAGACCCATACAGCATTACTCCAAACTACTGTGCCCGCCTAAGCTAGTTAATAAAAATAAAGATAGCCCTGTATAGCAGTGGCTCGCAAATTGGAGTACATCAGAAT